CATCCACCCATCAACAGTCGTTCTCGAATCTCCTGTTTCCCGGAGTCTGGAAGGCAATAGAGGGTCATAGCAGAGAGTAGCCCTGGAGTTAGTGTGTGGTGTCAAATCTTTTTAGCCGAGTGATCTAGCCCAGCACTTAGCTCTGAGCCTCTGTTTCCCTATCTGTGACAAGAGGACGGTAATTGCCTGTGGCTCCTGGTTGTGGCGAGAACTGGGGGAGCTTGGCAGGCAAAGCCTGGGCACTGTGCCTGGCCCTGCATGTGCCTCCAGGCACCGTGAGATATCATTACCGTTGGCGTTATTTCAGGCCTTGTGGCAGGTGCTGGGGTGCCCCCACAGTGAGTGAGGGTCTGTCTCAGAGAGAGGCTAACTTGTTGCAGCAAAGAGACCCTCTAACCAGAATGGCTCCAACCTGCCGGAGGTTCAGCACACGTGCAAGGGGGGCCATCCAGGCTGGTGGGAGGCATAGACCCCGGTTCCTTCCGCCAAGGTGCTGGGCCATCCCGGGGGCTCTGTACTCGTCTGTGGGCAGAGAGGCTACAGAGGGCCAACCATCCCCCTTTGACCAAGCACACCCACGCTCCTGGCCTCAGTCCAAGGGCCTGCATTTGGCCTCGAGGAAGGCTGGGAAATGTCACCTGAGCCCGGCTGAGACTCAGGGGATGGCCAACAGGATTTCACAGGTGCAGTTAGTCACCCAGCCACTGCTCCTGCCCCTGGATGTGGAGCCAGATGACTGCTGGCAGGTGACACAGGCAGGAGCAAGGTGGCGGTGGCCGGTGCATCCAGTGGGTGGACGAGTGTGGGCAACAGGGGAGAACAGGATGGTGGGTGAACAGAAGTGTGAGTATGACCCGGGCACGCTTCGAGGATGGCAGAGGCCAGAGCACAGCTCCACGCCATTGTGAGGACTTTGGCGTCTATCCCAAGGCTGTCGGGAGCCACAGAGGGGCTTTGGGCAGGAGAGGGTATGATGGGACTTCTGCCTTCAGCGTGAAAGAAGGATCAGGGGGAGGACCGCAGCTCCCGACTCTCTGGGATTTGGCTGAAGGAGTCATGCCTGCCCCCCAACCCCGTGGTTGGAAAACCTAGACTAGACCTCGCCGGCACCCGCCCGCCGGCACCCACAGGCTTGCGGGCATTTATGTTGGACGCCGAGAGTGTCTTCCCATCCTGACGACCGTGTCCTTGAACTTCCAACAGCGAGAGGAGTCAGGAGAGAGAGGGCACCCTCTTCCCCACGTCCCAGAAACCTCCAAGGAGGCCCACAGGGACCTCGGGAGTCGGGGGCGCCCCCTGCCACCTGATCGTGGACGGGACCAGCCAAGACTCCTCTTTGGGGGAAAGAAGCACTGCCCTCTGCGTTTGAAAAATAGCTAATGCCCTCGCCTCTGCCCCTCCCCAAGGGCTCAGCAGTGGCGCTGACAAGGCCTTTTTCACTCTGCACCCCTACCCACCCGCCTCCCTGGCCTGAGGAACATCTAACTTCCTAATCAGGTGATGGGCAGGATCCCATCCTGAGATGTGTAAGGCCTGGCAGGTTTTCCTTTTGGGGGAAATGACTAATCAGGGTCTGTCAGTGCTGTGGAGTGCGGCCCCCTCTTTGGGGTCTCTGTGAGCTGAGGTGCCTGGACGGGCCGTCAGCAGGGGCTTAGGGGGCTCTCAGCTGCGCGCCTGCCCGGCTCGCTGCTGTGACATCCTGATGGGACCGTGGACATGACTTTGGGGACCCAGTGCAACAGGGAAAAGTGGGGCTCCTGATTCAGCTTCGTCAGCATTTCAAGACAGAGCAGAGCTTTGACGTGAGCCCAGGGTCCCTCTGAACATGGGCCCAGGCCACATGCCCATGAAGCTGGCCCTCCTTGGAGCCTTCTGGAACAGGGCCCCTCCTCTAGTCCGTACCCCGCCCCCAGCCACTCAGACCCCTGAGTCTTCCCAGAAATAATGCAGTAGCCACCTTAGAGCTTCTTCTGTCTTTCCCGTATCAGGAAGAAGCAGCTCATTCATTCATTCCCCAGGTCTGGCCCCGCCCTTGCCCTGAAACGCTCCCTCACCTGGACGCACAGCCATGAGCAAGTCAGAGAAATAGTCCAGTAAGGAAGAGAGGCCGTTCACAAAGCAATAAAGCCTTTCGAAGAAAGCTCGGCACAGTAAAAAAAAAAAAAAAAAAAACAACAACAACAACAATAAAACCCGGGGAGGGGTGGGCAGCGCCATCATGGGCGAGGAACTGCCTTGGCGGGGCAATCAGAGAAGGCTCCGGGAGGAGGTAGCACCTCAGCTGAAGCCCGAGGGGGAGGCAGCCAGCCAAGTGAAGACTGGGGGAGGGCACCTGCACTGCAAACAGCAAGCACAAGGGCCCCATTCAGAGCCATCAGGAGCCCAGGGAGTGCGTTCCGTGAGCCAGGGCTGGGTCTCTCAGAGCCAGGAAGCCCAGAAGAAAGGTCTGGATCTTATTTTAAGTGCACTGGGGAGCCCCTGCCGGGTTTGGAGCAGGAGCAAGTGTTAAAGTCTCACTGAAGACAGGGGACAGAACAAAGGGGGTCTGAGGGGATTTGGGAGCACGGTCCAGGTGAGAGAAGACAGGGCCTCGGAAAGCCAGATCGCTTTGGTTATTTGAGGCAAGGGGCCCATGCATCCCTTTGGCGACATCTTCTCTTCTCAGGATCCTCCCTCTGAAGGTGCAGCGCCTGGAAGCCAGTGCCCTCACGACCGTGACCAGGCCTCCCCCAGCAACGATGGCATCTTGACCTTCATCTCCCACCTAGAAGCTGTGACTCTTGAAAGCAGGGATCCCCGAACTGCGGAAGACAGTGGCCGGGTGGACAGAACCCCAGACATGGACTCCCAGCGGCAGGTGGAGCCCAGGACAAACAGCTAGGCTCTCTCAGGAAGAGCAACACCAGTGAGCCCTTGGTATTGTGCTTTCTGTGTTTCATAAATGTTGTTTTCCACCTTGTTGCCTCCTGACGCATGGCCGGTGAGGGTCAGCATTCGGGCCGGGCCTGGCCTGGGGCTGGGCAAAGGCACATCTGTCCCAACGGCCTCCTTGGCCCACCTTCCGTCATGGCTGCCCATGCTTCTCTCACTCAAGACCCGACTTCCTCAAGGCCCATTGTGGCTGCCTGACCTCTTTCCCACCCGACCTTTCTAGAACCTTCCTACCTCCACTTTGATCTCTCAGGATTTCTTAGCTGAGCTTCCAGAGAACAAATCCCTCCCCTCGAGGCCCCAGCAGAAGTCACTGGCCAGCCCACGGGTCAGGTGACCTCTGCTAGCCAGCCATCAGGGGGTGCTTGTCGTACACCAACATGGTGCTTGTGGGTGGACTCGGTTCCCTCGGAAGGGTTGTGGGCACGGTGGCATTTCCAGAACAAAGGAGTGGGGTGGGGTCTGGGCGACGCTTGGGAAGGGAGGAAGATCGAGGAGGATAGAGCCGTCAGCCAGGCAGGACCATTGCCGAAGAGGACTGACATCATCCACTTGTTATGTCAGTAACACACACGCAGCTCGGTGCCCACTACCCCTCCCGACGCCACACCTGTACCTCACTCTCTTTTGTGTATCTTCCTCTGGACCGTGGATGTCCAATGCCCAGGAGCCATGTTTCCTGGGGCTAGCAACTGCCTTCGTGGAGGAAGGGCTGGCTTATCACGGAGCCTCAGTAAAGAATGTCATTGAACAACCCTTTGTCTCCTTTCAATGCGACTTGGAGGATCTTGAGATCCTCGACACGTTGATCAGTGCCTGGACAAATACACAGCACTTATGGTACGTCCCTTCAAGGGGAGCCCTAAGGCATTGTTTGAGCCCCCGGGTCCGGCCATTCCTGCTTCTTTGCACTTGTCTGTTAGATGAGCTGATGTGTCTGTCCCCTTAGTGTGGAAGTCAGCTCCAGCTGATTTTACTTTCCCAGTGTGGCATGTCCCTCGCACCTCTGCCACCCCTTTCCCTTAGCTCGGTGCTACTCAGCCAGCAGGTCTCAGCTGAGACGTGGCCTCAGCCAGGAAACCTCGCCAGGCTCTTGCCCAGCCTGTGTCTCTGCCCCTGAGGCTCCTGTGTCCCCGTCAAACCCGTGTCTCACTGCCCTGCCATTGCCACGTTACTCGCCCGTCTCCCCTATTCATCGGGACTCATTTTGTTGTAGACGGCTGAAAGCTGCACCCACTTTGCACAAAAAGGGACGTACTGGCTCTTCGAACAGAGACAAGTCCAGGTATAAACTTGCTTCAGGAATGTCTCCACCCAGGAAGTCAGACAATGTCTTAGGACTCGGCCTCCCTCTTTGCATGTCTCTGGTCTGCTCGCCTCCCTTGGCAAATATGGCCCCTGGAGCCTCCAGGCCTCCATGCCGCCGACTTCGTTGCTCAGTGGGAGGAGAATACTTCTTCCCAGTGGCAAAAGCCAAGTTGGTTGGCTTTGGTCACATGACCACCTCTCAGCTGGTGACTGGCCAGAGCAACTGAATGCTGTGATTGGCTGGCTGGCATCACATGACCTATCCCTGGCACCGGGATGGGGGTCAGCCACCCCCAAGTCACCTGGCTTAAGGGCAAGGGATGGGCAGTTCTCTAAAGTTACAGAAAGGGGATGCTGCCGGACCGGCGAGAAGCTCAGAAGTCCCCTGCATTTCCCCCAGCACCAGCCAGTGAAGTCACTACGCACAGGAGCCTTGTCTTTTCACTCTGCATGTACCCCCAGCGTGTGCCGGACAGGCCCCTTCACTGACCACGCCCGGGGGCTACTGCTGGAGGGAGACAAAGCCCTGCCCCGTGGTGCGCGGTTCACGGTCGGCGGGAGAGGTGGGCATCAACAGGGGTCCCGAACAGGACTAGGCACAGGAATTAAGGGAGGACGGAACAGGGGCCCACCCGCTGCCCGGAGGGTCCGGGAGGCTCCATGGGGGGGGAGAAAACCTGAGAGCTCACTCTTCCTCATCTGGCAGAGGGAGGTAGGTTGGGATGCGGATGACATTCAGGCAGGGGCACCGCCCGGGCAAACGCATAATGATCCGAGCAGGATGACTTACTCAGAGCACCACAGCCAAACGTTTGGGTGTCAGTGGAAAGCGCACTGCAAAGAAAACCAGCGGGAGGTTGGCTGGAGAGAAGCAGGTGCCAGACCACGTGCCCCAGGGAGTTTGGACTTGACCCTGCGCTCTGTACGAGCCCCACCTGCACACGTCTTCCAGGGAGGACTGGGCAGGTGCACATGACAAGGAAGTTGGATTCATCAGGAGGGGGCTGGAATTGCCTGCCCACTGGGGGCAAAGTTATCTCTGCCACTATGTTGACCCGGGGCCCCCAAATCACTCCCTCAGGGGACATCCGGTTTGCAACATGCCTGCAGGTAAAAGGGACTTGAAATTGGGTTTGGCTCACTCTCCTGGCATTGTCTTTCCTCTGCGGTGAGCTGGAAACTGCTCGCCTTGAAGTTTGCCCAAGGTCTGTGGTTAACCAGGCCATGTCAGCGGAGGATCCAAATGCAGTTCCGAACTCAGCCTCAGCCCTCATCTCCAGCCCCAGCCGAATACTCCTCTTTCTGTGAGATTTCCTTTCTGTCTAAATTAATTTGTCATAAACATGCTGACAAAGCATTGCCAGCTGTTAATGGGGGCTGGAGGTGAAGGTCACCGCTGGTCTCTTCAGGAAGGAAATTAACTAGCTTCCATTAGCTAGCAGGAAATGATTAAGTCCGTCCATCCCCCAGCCCTTCGTTCTCGCTAGGTCCCCAGCCACCCACCCTCCCTTCTGCCACGGTATGTGCAAACAGAGCTTGCGGCCCCCAGAGTTGAATGGGGGCAGTTTGCTCCATGAGAGTTAGAGGTGATTTTCCCAAATCACCATGACCTGCTCACAAATGCAATTCTATTTTCTCATCCCAGTCTCTCTGCTTGTCTCAGGATGAGCCCAGGTGGGACTCCTCACCTGTGGGGCTTTAGCAGGCAGCCAAGATTAGAGGCTTTGAGCAAGAAAGGGTCTGGGGAGTAATTCAGGAGCATTTGGGCTGCAAGTGACAGAAACTTAGCTCACCTAAGCTTAAAAAAAGAATCTATTTGCTCATGCAACTGGGAAATCAAGAGACACTTAGCTTCAGGAATGGCTGGCTCCAGGGGCTCAAGCATTATTTTTCAGGCTTCTTTCTCTCCATCTCTCTGAGAAACTCTCTTCTCTCGCTGCCCAAGGCTTCGGGCTTGCCAGTTTAGCAACCCCAGCCGAAGGAGAATTCTTCAAGCCAAATGCTGCTGGTAGAATGTCCCGGGGAGGGTTCTGATTGAGCATGGGTCACATGCTTGCCCAAACTTGTAAGTGGAGCCCATGACTGGGACCGAGGCTTCCAGATTCTGAGTCACATTTCTCCAGCCCTAATGATACACCCATGGTCCAGAGGCACCCTCACATCCACCAGCCTCTTCGCTCTGATAAATGAGGCCAGAATGCCACCCGACCCATGGGAAGCCATGCCACAGCGGATGAAAAGAAGGGACAGAACCAGCATTTTGTATCCTGGGAAAAGCTCCTCCTGCAAGAGGTTCTGTGAATTAAGAGTTCCCTGGGCAAATAAACTGGAGAAAAAAGGGTAGCCAGCCCTGGGTGATCCTCAGGAGCCCATTGCCCAGAGAGGTAAACAGGCTCAGGAAGGTTAGACGACTGCCCAAGGGGCAGAGACAGGATTGGAACTGAGGCCGCTGGGCTCCTAGGCTCTGACACCTGATGCTGGAGAAGCAGTTTGGGGCTCAAACCCCAGCCTGGCTCTCACTGCCTGGCTTCACTTTTTGTGACACATTCGCTCATTCCCTTCCCCACCCCCACCTGGGACCCTATGTCTTCTGCTGCCATCAGCAGGGTCTCCACCAGCTGCTGGAGAAGCAGCCCGGCCTTGAAAAGGCCACAAAGCCCAGAGGTTAGGGATGTAGGTGAGGGGATGGAGGCCCGGCTGCCCCTTACTTGGGCTTCGAAACCCCAAAAGGTCACCTAGGGGCGGCACAGCCAGCTGTGCCTCCCGGTGGGAGACGTGGGGGCGCATGGACGCAGAGGCCCCCTCCCTATCTGCGTGACCTCATCCCCGGGCGCCCAGGTCACAGCTCTGAGCCTCAGCCTTCTCATCTGCAGAATGGGCCAGGGAGGCAATCAAGTCAGGTTTGCTGGAGGGTCAGAGAAGGTGGGGGGCCGCGGCTGGCAGAACGCTCGCTGCAGGGTCTGGCCCCGGGCTCCAGCACCAGGGCCCACGTGACCCACCTCCCCCCCGCTGCCGGCGCCGTGGGGCAAGTCCGGACACGTTTCCAGTTGTCACAGGGGCAGAGGGAGGAAGCGGTTTCCTCCCTCTGGTTACGGTTACGGTTATAACAAATTGCCATCAAGTGGTTTAAAACAAACAAACAAAGGATCTTACAGCGCCGGACGTCAGAAGTCCCTCATGGGCCTCGCTGACTGAAGTCCGTCTCTTTCCCGCCCTCCTTCCTCTTCTAAGGACCCCTGTGATGCTATGGGGTCCACCTGACCACCAGGACCACCCTCCACCTCAAGATCTTAGGCGTGTCCGCGAAGTCCGCCTCGCTGAGTAAGGTGACAGAGTCACAGCCTCCGGGGATCAGAGCATGGACATCACTGGGGGGCATCATGCAGCCACCACACTGAAGTGGGACAGCCCCCCACAACGGAGTCATGAAGCCCAAAATGTCCTCAGAGCCAGGTGGAGAAAGCCCACCACAGGGGACGCTGTTTGCATTATCAGCACCACGGAGATAAAAGAGTAAGTGGGCTGTGCTGTCGCAGCCCCAGGTGTAACCTGAGCGTGACCTCAGGTGAGTCCCAGCAACTCCGAGCCTCAGTTTCTTCTCTGTAAAATGGGCAGAATAAGGACAACCCCTCATGCACGGAGCTCACCGTGAGGTCTTACCCTGTGACTCTCAGTCCACGGAGCATCTAAGAAATGCTGATGTCCGGGCGCACCCCAGGCCCATGGAGGACACTCTCTAGGGGTGGGGCCCAGGCAGGTGGATTTTTAAAAGCTCCTCCTGTGTGTGGAGGAGCCCCCCTCCTCGCTGCGATGTCCAGGGCTGCCCCCAGCCGGGCACCCCGGGCACCAGTGCACCTCAGCGTGGCTGTGAGCCCAGCAGCGCCCTCACCCAGCGCCACGCTCTGGCCGGCCTCGGTGGCAGGAGGGCCTCAGCTCCCCCAGCGGCGGCCAGCAGCCAAGCCGGAGCTGAGCTTTTCACAGCCTTGGGCCGAGCGCCCTCTGCTGGCGGGCTGGCGGCAGCGCGCACTGAGCTTGGGCACCTGCAGGGTCCCCGCCCGAGACCGGGGCAGGGTGGGGATGCCGCCCCCATATCACCCCCAAAAGTGGCCAGACACACAGTGTTTTGCCTGTGGTTTTGGGTGGTGCACAGCGCCCTAAGGCCATGCACAGATCCAGATCCCAGTTTAAAGTCCTGCTGCGACTTCTCATCTCGGTTTCCCTTCCCACTGATGCCGGCACCCCAAAGGCAAAACCCTAGTGCCCTGCAAGGGCTGATCTCTTTCAGGGGGAACATCCTTGTAAGCTGGGACACCTAGGAGCCCCCAGCCCCTGCAGGAGCCCCAGGGCTCTTCCTTGCAACCCCTACCATAGCTGCCTTTTTTCAGACTCCTGCTGGTACAAACTCACTTAATCCTTCCGGGCAGTTCACAAAGAGCGGAATTCCCACC